GGGGAATTCAAACTTAACACCGCACGCCAGTACAAAATATCAATTTAAAAAAATCTATCTCAACACAAAATTAAAAGCGTTCAACTGATTACCGACAGTACAAGAGAGAGCTTCACGGGAAAGTTATAAGATTATTAAATTTATAATAAAGCGATATAATATTACAAAGTACAATGGACTTCCAACACTCGGCTGTACGGTCCCTTTAATTAAACAAGGTCAGTCTTCGCTTACCTGTCCACCTGTGGAGTCTACCTTCTACTTCTCTTCTTCCTCCTCGTAGCTTGCTGCTTGCTCCCTCCTTCCGTTTCGCAGAATTAGAAAAGATCTATCCACCCCAGCGAACACAGCGCGTGTGTTGTTCTCAACACGTCACAATGGCGACACGACACGCAGACGACAGAGGAAATGAACAAACCGTTTGCTGCAGCAGAGCGCAATGTTTGAGTTGCCCTCGTCTATCTGAAGCTATCTCTCTAGGCTACTACTACTCCTTTTTCTCGTTATCAGTCCAACACAGGGGTAGAGGAGCCCAGAGAAGAAACGCCAAAGTAGCAACAGCCGAACACAGTTCTGTTTATCTCTCCGCGTCCTTCTGTCTGTCTGCCTTTCTTTCTTTCTTCCTTTCTCTCTCTCTCTATCTTATTCTGTCTCTATGTCCTACTCCTCCTGAACCTTCACTCCGTATGTAATGATTGAGTATGGGTATGTGAGAGAGCTAGGGAGTGTGTGTGTGTGCGTGCGTGTCGCTATTGTTCCTATCTCACTTTGCAAAGAGGGTTTTATTGGGGCCTTGTTATTTCAGCCACAGCCCAGATCGCGCACGGCGATGGCGACATACCTTAATATTGTAGTACGGGCCACTGTCGCACTGGAGAGTCACGACTGAAGACACGCCCCCGATAAAAATAAATATCGCCTCTTGCACCATTTGTGCATCCAAAAACGTGCATATCTAACCCCCTTTTTTTTATCAGCCCCGCCACTGAGTCAGTGAGGTTTTTTTTTTTCTTTTGTTTAAGTAAA